GGTCGATTGAGGCCATTTGTCTCTTCCTAACTTGTAGAATGAATTCTGATGTGGTGAATGACCACTGCGAAAAGAAACTTAAAGTTGAAAAGAAAGATCACTGCACTCTGAGCTGTCATCGCAGTGATATCCGGTGGCACAAAGTCTCTCTCTTTCTGTCCTAGACTGCCAATAGGATTACGTCAGAGTGATGCTCAATTTTACTGTCACTGCTTCATCAATGTCCTCACTGAGCGCACTGGTCATCATTTGGCTCTAGAAGCTTAAATTTGTGTGAGAATCCTGTCAGTCTGCATTGGGCAGTGTTCAATTTCAATTTAGGAAAGTAGCTTCAACACAACCGTCGTTCGCTAATCGAATTGCGAGTTATGGCGATCTTCACTTTCAACCCTCTTTCAATCTATCCTCCCTTCGCTTACTATTATTACTTTTCCGTTCTGTCTGGAATCTCTATCACAATGCAGACAGACACAGACGCATAGTGAAATTAAAGAAAAGAGGAGCAATGGACACATACACTAGATGACCGCACAAATGAACAGATGAAGAAGAAGAGGAAAAAAAGGGGCGCAAGAAAAAGAAAAGAAAAGAGCTGCGGCGGCGGCGACGCGCATTATCAACTTTGCGGCTTTCTTCCGTACATCTGTACCGCAACAGAAGTAGTAGTAGAAGTAGTAGTAGTAGTGGCAGCAAGTTCAACAAGAGTAGCAGCAGCACTAGTAATAGTAACCACCACAATAACNAGAAAAGAGGAGCAATGGACACATACACTAGATGACCGCACAAATGAACAGATGAAGAAGAAGAGGAAAAAAAGGGGCGCAAGAAAAAGAAAAGAAAAGAGCTGCGGCGGCGGCGACGCGCATTATCAACTTTGCGGCTTTCTTCCGTACATCTGTACCGCAACAGAAGTAGAAGTAGTAGTAGTAGTAGTAGTGGCAGCAAGTTCAACAAGAGTAGCAGCAGCACTAGTAATAGTAACCACCACAATAATCAGCAGTACTTACCATCCGAATTTCGCTTGGAGGCGTCCGAAACCTCCTTGGCGACGCTGTCTTCGCTCAGACTGCCCGGCATGCGAGTGTCCCTCGTGCCGGACAGTGAGTCTTCGCGTGTTCCAGCAGTGGTGCCCGCAACAGTAGCGGCGGCAGCGGCGCCGGCGGCTGTTGATGGCGGCTGTGCGCCGTGCTCCGAGGCACTGGTGCCGAATCGGTTGCGCGCCAGAGGTGAGTGCGTCGCCGACTTGTGCCGTCGAATGGTGCTGAAGCGACTGACAAAGGAGGTGTTGTGCTTGAAGCTGAAAGAGCTAACAAGAGAATTTTGGGGTGGTCAGATCAGTGAGGTGGTGATGGTGTGCAATGTTCACTCACGGTGGGGGACTAGGTAAGGGCACTTGGTGAATCTTCCAAGTGGCAATGGACATTGAGTTCTCGTCGGCGGCGTAGCACCGCCACAGACTTTGAATGAGCGTCGCAGCGGGCACTCGCCGGCGAATCATGTGCTTCTGCCGCTGTTGCTGCTGCACTTTGAGCGCAAATCCCGAGCCGAGAATTCCCTAAATCGATCAGAGTTTAAGAGAAAGAGAAAGGAAAAAATGGTATTGAAGGCAACAAAGGAGTGAAGAAGAAAGAGGTCAGAATCGGATAAGAAGTCACGCACTAAGTTGTGAAAGAGTGAAAAAAGAAAAAGTAGGGGCATTCTTTCTCTCTTCTCTCCAAGTCAATGTTTTTGTCATGTCTACGTACCGCGGGCAAGGCAAAGAATGAGATTCCTAGAAGGGCACAAAAGGAGGCAACCAATTTGCCCGGCCAAGTTTGGGGCACTAAGTCGCCGTATCCTACGGTGCAAAGTGTTATCTGAAAAAAATGGGAAAAAGGGAACAAATAATAAAAGTTAGCAGCTGATAATTACAAAAGATTTACTGAGATGCGGTCACACACAAAAGAAGACTGTGTAAACAAAAATGGAATGCTTTGATCGACTTACCACACCCCACCAGAGAGCGTCGGCAAAGTTGGTGAACTTGTCATGCCTGACGCCCTTCTCGCTGAGGTACACGAGAAAGGAGGAGAAGATGAGGCCGAGAAAGCCAATGTACACTGTGGTGATGAGCTCCTGGCGATGTGCATAGACCACCGAGCCGAGCAGCTTCCAGGTGCCGCCGCGACGGTCCATGCGCACCATGCGCAGAATTTGGAAGAATCGAAGGCCGCGAAGGGCAGACGCGGCAAAGACCTGCCCCGAGCTGCCCACTGAAAGAACGATGATTGACGCTACGATCACCACAAAGTCTGAATAGAAAAAATAGATTACAGTGAAAACAATTCAGTTTTGCTGAAAACTTTACCTATTGCGCAGAATGGACTCCGCATGAAGCGCAGCCGGCCAATCCATCCCTGATAGCGAGACCGACAGCCGGCTGACCACATGCGAAAGAGGAACTCGAAGGTGAACCAGACGACCATTATAATTTCCTAGTGACACAAAAGTGGGAAAAAAACATTTATTGGCACAAGTTAGTAAATCGCACTGGATTGGAAGCTTTTACTGACCATCTTGAGTAGAATACTCGATGCCACCTCCTCGTACTGGTCGATGGTGGAAAAGACCGTGAGCACCAGACAGGCAAAGACCATGCAGAACCTGGTTAAAGTAGGGAAAAAATTTAGGTTAGTGAGAATGTTTTGAAAATGATTAGCCATCAATGAAGTTAATTAATTGCCCCATTGCTTTTGCTTGCAAAAAGACACACTCAAACCAAAAGGTCACACTTTGTTGATGCGCAAAAAATCTAATTAATTTGCTAATTATTACGTTTCACTGTCTTTGTATACTTAGAAATCGTACAAATATTTGCATAGAAAGCTACTGTTGACCTACAAAACTTGTAGAAACGGCCCTTGCTTGCTAATAGATAGATGTTTATGGTCTTGTTTTTAGAGAGCATAATGCACTATTAATAATGCAAATAACGTTTCAGCCATTAGTGAATGATTGCAGTTAGAGGATGCATCGTTTGGCAAGTCAGTGTCACGACGTCCACAACCACCACCAACAACAACACCACCATACAATTAATGTCTTCTGGTGGCACATTGTTCCAATGACACTGGGGCAGCAGTAGGCAAAAGCAGAGATAAAGTTTCACTACGGATGGCAATTTCAGTGTAACTTGATACATTTACTGATAGTATAGTGTTTGCCCTAGTAATTTGAAGAACGTGCACAATTTAAAAATTTACTTTAGATTGACTGCAAAACAGTTGTCAAAACAAATGACCATCTCTACTACTCACAATGATATGTGATAGAGCACAGCCAGCAGACCGCTAGGTCGCTCGAGAAAGTTGTTCACCACAAACTGGTACTTGCGAAAGCGAGCCGAGCGATGTCGAAGGGGAACACAGTTGGCAAAGAGAAAGGATGACTGGCGTAGCTGACTGCTTGAACCGGTGGTGAGCGTCGTCACCAGGAGGTGATCATTGTTGCTACTGGCCAGGGTGCTCGTCCGAAGTCCACCGCCTCCGCCTCTGCCTCCACCATCACCATCACCACCGCCAGCAGCAGCTCTACTGGAGAAGTTAAACTGTGAAGTAGAGGCGGAGATGTATCGTCGGTAGAGTGATTGTTGTTGTTGCTTTGGCTGCTGTTGTGGATGATCTTGCCTCCTCAGCCGTCTACCGCAGCTGCTGCTGTTGTTGCTGGTGTTGTAGCTGCTGTTGCTGCTCATCAGCTGATCGTTGGATCTGCTGCTGCTGATGTCAATAGTGAAGTGCAGCGGATGGTCGGCCAGCGTCGGCGAGCACCGTTGAGACTGACCATTGGCTCGACTCTGCAGTGGCTGCTGGTGATACTTGCTGGACACAAATGAAGGCAGTGAAGTGGACAGTAAGGAGGACTGCAGCGGCGGCGAAGGCAAAGGTTGCTGGAAGAAGACGTCGTCGCCGTCACCGCTGCCGCTGTTGCTGTTGCTGCTCTCAGCGCAGCGATCGGTGCCTGAATCAGCGGCATCGAGTATCTGCACTGCATCGTGGTGAAAGCGAATTCGACTCGTCTGGTATCGGTGAGACTGAGGTGATTTACTGTACTGCGACATTACAAAGGAAGAGGAACAGCACACTGCTGATGGCAATAGCGGCGGTGGTGGGGAAAGAGCACGTGCTGGCAGTGCTGGTGGTGCTGGTGGTGACTGAAGATTGCCTTCAGCAGAGATGCTCGAGGAGGTGCTCGAGGACGAGTGCTGCGAGCAGCTGTGCACAACACTGGCAGCCGCTCCTCCAACAAAGGCACCAACAACGGGCACATGTTCTTTTATTGCCGCTGATTGCTGCTGCTGCTGTCTCACGCCAGATTTGTCGGCTTCCACTTGTCGGCGGCAGTACGGCAGCAAGTCACGGACGGCATTGTCTCTGAAGACTGCTCGCTGCTGAAGAGCACTGCAGCCTGCACTTCTACTCAAAACTTGATGGCGGCTGGCGGCACTTGAAGGAGGTGGTGGTCGTGGTGACAGTGGTGGAAGCGGTCTGCAAGCCGATATCAAAGGGTGACAATCTTGCTCGGTAGAAGAGCGGTGTTGCCAGCAGTACGATGACTGCTCAATCTGCTTGCTACTTTTCCTTTGACGGCTGCTTCTGCTGGCGGTGTCTGCTGTAACAGTGGCAGCCATTTGCATGCTTTTAAACGGCAGTCGCTTGTCGGTGGTGGTAGCAGTGGTCGCAGTGGTGGCTGCTGTGTCGTCGCAGTCGTCCTCCTCTTCTTCTTCCTCCAGATGATTCTGACAACGGCACAACGGTGGGGGCCGTGGTCGCGGTGGCGATAATGAATGACCAAGTGGCTCATTAGCATAGACCGACGATGAACCAGAGGAAAGAGTGAAGGAGGGGGCCAATTTGCTGGAGTGATTGCAGCAGTCAGTGGTCGCAGCCGAACTGCAACAGCCATCCTTCTCCTCTTTGGCTGCTGCTGTCGTCAGTTTTGCTTTCAGTTTGCTGCTGACCGAAGAACTTGATTGAAGAGGTGAATCATGCGGTTGACTAATTTGAAGACACAGTTCAGATGCCATGCGGTCTCTGCAGCCGCCGCTACTTTGGCAATCTCCCGCAAGCCCAAGTGGTGTTGTTTGTTGCGTAAATCGGCGCGACAGCGTTTCAATGGGCGACTCGTGACCAGCACCACTAAGGTGGTCATTTGTGCAGATTGAGGCAATCTGCAGACGGCAATCGGACTCTGCTTTTTTAGCCGCAGCAGCAGCAGAAGTAGAGGTAGTGGCGACGTCGCTGAGCTGCGTCGCTGGTTTAGTCACACGTACTAAAAGGTAATTGAGTCTGAACTGTCGTACAATCCAACTGCCCAGCCAAGGTGCCAGTGTACCAACGGCAGGCGACGCTTTGCTGGTTTCAGCCGTCGCAGATGTCTCACTGCTCTCCACCTGAATAATCTGGTCAGGCGTAGAAGTGTCCATTGTCTCTGTCCTCTGGCTGTTTTTCTTCTCCTTCTTCTTCTTCTTTGATTCTCCAGTTGCTGGTGCTTGTGCCACATCTGCAGTTCTTTCTCTCTGCAGGTGGACACTGTTGCTGCCATTTCTATTAAGTGAATGAGTTTCAAGAGAAGAACTGGGCTCAATGCAAAAAACGTGTTTGCGATCTTCATTTTGTTTGACAAAACTACTGCTGCTGACTCGACGGCGTGAGTTGAGACTTACAGTGGCCGACTTGAAAGAAGATATGTCCATGCAGACTGCAGAAAGATGCTAAATGTTTTTTCAAATCAACGATCGATTGTCAAACATAAAGTTTTTGATGGTTACAAAAATTGTTTTTTTCAAAAATATTACAAATCGCAAAAGGTTGAAAAAAACATTAAAAAAGCTTTTAAAAAAAGTAGCTTATGCTGGTGTTTGGTTTCATTGTAGATTTAAGTAATGAAAAGTACTACAACAAAAATTCTCAAGACACTGCAAATGATGTCGGTGACGCAGATAATAATAAACAATGACAGTGGTTAAACATTGACATCATCGAGTGGACAGTNGATCGATTGTCAAACATAAAGTTTTTGATGGTTACAAAAATTGTTTTTTTTCAAAAATATTACAAATCACAAAACAATGAAAAACATTAAAAAAGCTTTTAAAAAAAGTAGCTCATGCTGGTGTTTGGTTTCATTGTAGATTTAAGTAATGAAAAGTACTACAACAAAAATTCTCAAAACACTGAAAATGATGTCGGTGACGCAGATAATAATAAACAATGACAGTGGTTAAACATTGACATCATCGAGTGGACAGCAGAAGTAGCAGACATCACATCAGCAGACGACGAGAAAGATTGGAGGCGACAGCATGAGCTGATTGAACACTGTTGAAGCGGCTGCTTGGACTGGCGCACAAACTACCACGCAAACAAGTAGTGCAGAATGTTTCGGCAAAATGTTCCAAATGTAGTGCGCCAGAAGGCGGCCCTGAGAGCAACCACCAACATCGCCAGTAGCAGAAAAGGAAGCCGAAACAGTGCCAGGACTAGAGAAAGTTGTGAGTCGCCGCTGCCTAAAGCATGGCAGTAGGCAAAAAGCGGGTTCAAGTGCCACTGCTGATGCTGCTGAGACTGATCTGCGAGAGCTGTAGAGCAGTACAGCCAGCAAGTGAGCCGAATGACTAGAAAGCTGCTTCCCAGTGCATTCATTTGGCTGCCTCTTCTTCTTCTCTTCGGCCCCTCTCTGTCTGCCATTTTCTGCCTTGCAGTGGCAAGTGGTCATTTAAATCGAAGCAGATTGATGATCACGGCTGCTACTGCAATCTACTACCACCAGCACCACTACGACCATCAGATTCGCCGCCCCCATGCTCAGATAAAGCAATGAATAATTTGCAAATAAGATAAGAGTGGTAATGCGTGACTGAGAGCCCACACACACAGACACACAGTCATTCTAGACCGCTGATGGTTTGCTTTGCATTGCTGCCGCCAGTGATGCAGTGAACAGCAGCAGCAACAACAGCTGAAATGGGCACTGACAATTGCTAGGCCGGCTAAACGAGAAGGCATTTTGATGGCGCCCGCCACCACCACTATCATCAGCGGTAATAATCTAAATAGGAGGGGGAGGAGGAGAAAAAGGAAGAGCAAACAAACAAATTGCCATTTAAATGAAATGACAGTACAGTGGCTTCAGCTGAAAACCGAATACACACTGACACCATTCACAAGACTGGGACACGCACTCTGACACCAAACGTGTGACAGGAAAAAGCTGATACCATAGGCTGACGGACAACAACACACAGCAAACACGACAGATAGCTACAGCAAACAAACCAACAACAAAAAGAACATAAAGGTAAGTTGGCAGACTGCTGTTCAGGTAAAAAGTGCTATCATGATAAGAATTGAAGCAGCAACACCAGTGCCTAATGAGAGCCCTAGAGAGAAGGGAGGAAAAGGTAGGGAGACAAGTCATATCAATAATGCAGACTACAGAGACAAGATTAGCCAGAGTCAAAGGCAAACACAGCAAGTGCCCCAGTGTTCTCAGACAGCAGCACCAGCATAGCATATACAGTCAGTTGACAAAGTACCAGATGTCCTGAAATGCGGAACCGGTCCACCTTTGCACCACAATTTTGCTGTTGCTTCCTCCTGACACGTTGTAAATTATTAATTTAATTTGGCCAAACTGTGCAGAGCATAGTGAGCAGCAGCTTCTCAATTAGACGCCAACCAGTGTTCTTTTCCCTATCTGTCTGTCTGTTTGAATTTTTTATTTTCTCTAACACAGCAAGTGGACTGCTAATTATTGTTAACGAGGTTCATTTTATACATCTAAAACAAAAAACAATATTTTTTTCAAATACTTTTTCTTACTCATTTCTTGCTTGTTTGAAAAAGTAACAATTAAAAATCTAAATTAACTTTAAAAGTGATGATGAAACTCAAATCACGTCAACATCATCAGCAGATTTCTGACCGGGCAGCTGATGGCAGTCATCCATCTGTAAGTGAATGCCCGAACTCTGCACATGACTGATTGGAGCAGTGGAAATTCATTCAGTGTGTGTGCGTGTGCCTGCGTCGTCGACCGAAGAGAGTGTCTGCGGGCAGCCATCCAGTGCTGCAGTGTTGGCCGTGCTGGCCATTACAGTAATTCATCGGCGGTGAATTTGCGGGCAATTCGTGATCATACTGGTAATTAATATCAAGGCAACAGCAGTGCTGGGCGCATCAATTATTTAGGGCGAAATTCTGTGTGCGCACAGAGAAGAATGATCGCCAAGTGTGGTGGTGGTGCTTGTGTATGTGAGGCCGATGGCCAGCACCAGCAAGCAGTGCTGCAAATGCAATGAAGGAATGCCAATGGCCATGGGCCAAGTGAAATAGATAGAGATAGCTGTGCTGCAGTGCAGGGCAGTCAACACACCATTTGCGCATATAACCTAATTGCAGGAAAGAACACCAGGCAAATGGTAAGTATATTTGAATATCATCACGTCGAATGTGGTGGTATTGCGTGCCAGCAGCACCACCACCACCGTCACCACCATCATCACCAGGCGCAAATGAAAAGTAATGTGCAGCGGAGACGCCGTTTATGATGATCGAATATTGAATTGACCAGCGGCAGCAACACTCAGTGGTCCATCAAAATGGTTGTGGAGCACCGCCATCATTCAGTGGTGGTGGAAAGCACAGTCAGCGAGCACTTAATTGCACGGTCACCGTCACTTTCACTTTTAGTGTTTGAACTGAAGTGCGTCCACTCGAGTAAAAGTGAATGCACATACACCACCCTCACAAACACACACACACTTGCTCTTCATTTGCATATTAAATGTTCAGTCAACTGGCAAACATTTCACAAAAAGTGTCTCTTGCTAGCTCCAGAAACGGCAACCTTTTTGCCCTTACCCCTCCCACTACACTACAATGGCCACACCATTGCCACTGTGCAATCCACTACCACCAATGTGTTTGTCATCAAAGGATTCTTTCCTCTTTTGCATGACAACAACAAAACGTGCAAACAAAAGAGTGAAAGGAAAACACCAAAACTCGGCAGCTGATGACAAGCGACCGACCAGCACAAACACACATACCCACATACACACAAACTACCGTCAATGTCCTCTTTGACACACTGACAATTGCCTCCTTTGTCTGCAAGGTTTTTCTTTACTCTGGTAAATTGCCTCATTCATTCATTCATTCATTTGCTAGTTCATTCACCACCGGCAAGGAAACGGAAACGAACTGAAAAGAGTGAACACAAAGCCAGTAGCACAGTGTTTGCACAGACAGTCAAGAACTTTTAGTTCAAAAACAGAATATTCTGCCCAGCCAAGGCGCCTAGCGCCATCTAACTGGACAAATGCAATTTAGTAGCAGTGGAAGCAGTAATAAATTCGGAAGCATCCCTGTCCACTCACATGACAATATGGTAGGTCATCGCCTTCCATCCACGTGGTCGTTCCAGAAAGTTGTGCATCTCATTCTGCAGCTGTCGGTATCGAGGATTGGTGTGCTTCACCGGTCGCACGTGAATCGGCCGACCGAGGAGGCTCATGCGGTGCATCTGCGACCGCTTACAGGCACGAAAGGCGTTCACTGAGGGCGAGCGAGAGCGGGAGGAGCGGATGAAACGCATAAAATCGGACTCTCGCCGATTTCTATCCTCAGGGCCCTCATACCCGGTCTCATTCTCCTCCTCATCCTCCTCGTCCAGATC